TAATTTATTTAGAGACAGAGTTTTACTCTGTTACCCTGGGTACATCGCTGTGGAGCCATAGTTCATAGCAACCTCAAACTCTGGGGGTTAAGTGATCCTCTTGCCTCTACCTCCCGAGTAGCTCAGACTATAGGTGTCCATTTTTCTTAAAGACAGGATCTCTCTCTTGCTCAGGCTGGTCTTGAACTCCTGAGCCTTGCACCCCCCTTATCCTTCCAGAGTGCTAGGATTACAGGGGTGAGCTACCACACTCAGTCCAGTTCAACAATTTAAAGTTAACAGTGTGATGGCTTGTAGTGATTTCATACAGTTGTGTATCTATCACTACAGTCAGTTTTAGATGGAATAGATGTAAACATTCCATCTGTTTAGATGTAAACATTCCATCACCTCAAAAAGAAACCTTACTTACCTTATACATTGTTCCCCACCATCCTGGCATCTTCTAGCACTAGGCAACTGCTAGTCTACTTTCTGTCTCTATAGATTTGCCTGCTATGGACGTTTTGTATAAATGGAATCATATAATATGTGGTTCTTTCTTTGACCTTTTGTGTCTGCTTTATTTCATTCTGCATGATATTCGTAGCATTCATTGACACTGTGGTTGTGTCAGTGGTTTATTCCTTTCATGGCTGAATACTATTTTATAGATGCACCATGTTTTGTCTGTTCATCCATTGATGGTCCTTTGGGTTGTTGCACTTTTTGGTTATTGTGAATAATGATGTTACAGACATCGGTGTGCAAATTTTTGTGTGTACATATGTTTTCATTTCTCTTGGATATTTAATTAGGAGTGAAATTGTTTTGTCATATAGTAGGGCTTTAACTGTTTGAAGAACTGTTGGACTCTTTCCACAGTGGCTGCGCTCCTTTATGTTCTTTTTTTTTTTTGATGGATTTTGGTTGGGGCTGGGTTTGAACCCGCCACCTCCGGCGTATGGGGCCCGGCGCCTTACTCCTTTGAGCCTCAGGCGCTGCCCACTCCTTTATATTCTTTAATCTTGCCAACTCTCTTTATCTTTTTGATTATAACCATCCTAGTGGATGTTAAGCACTCTCTGATTGTGATTCTGATTTGTATATCTATGATGGCTAATGATGTTGAGAACATTTTCTCATGCTTATTGGCCATTTGTATCTCCTTGGAGAAATGTCTGATCAAGTCCATTGCCTATTTTTTTCCTTCTTTTTAAAATTGATATATGTATATATATGTATATATTTTGGGAGTGTAGTAAGTTGATACATTCATATAATGTGTAAAGGTCAAATCAGGGTAATTGGGATATCCATAATCTTAAATATTTATCTTTTTTAATGCTAGGAACATTTTTGAATTATTTTCTTCTAGATAGTTTGAAATGTACTATAATTAACAGATTGCTGTTAATTATACTGATCTATCCAGCACTAAGTCTTAGTTTTTCTAGTTGTATATTTGTACCACTTAGCCTCTTTTTATCCCCCTCTTCGTCAGCCCTTCCTGGCCTGTCTGGTAACCACCAGCCTACACTCTATCTTCATGATATCCACTTTTTTAGCTCCTGTATATGATTGAAAACATGAAGTATTTGTCTTTCGGTGACCTCAAGTTCCGTCCTTGCAAATGATAGGATTTTATTCTTTTTTATGGCTGATAGTATCCCAATGTGTATATATACTACATTTTCTTTTCTTTTTTTTGGAGACAGAGTCTCCCTTTGTCACCCTTGGTAGGGTACTGTGATGTTGCAGCTCACAGCAACCTCTAACTCTTGGGCTAAAGTGATT